TCCCAGCCACAGGGAGCCCAGTTATGTTGCCTAGCAAGACCAGTATCATAAAGGATGGGGGAGGAAGGAGAAATGGGAGGATCCTATCCTTTCAGCAGGTACAGAGAAAAAGACAAATATTGATTTCAGCAATAATTTCCTCTGTCTGCCCGTGGGTGTAAAGTCCAGCAAGAAGACATAAGCAGCCAGCATGGGGCTGGGCAGATAATGAAGCCACCACAGATGGGAGTCTGCAGCTGTTTGTGCCAGGGGGCTGATGTTATAGGTGAAGCTCCGAGGGAGTGTCTGGATCTGGCTCTGATTAGTGCTTTGGGGTCCCAATCAATGAGAACTGCAGAAAAATCCTTCTCTCTCCTCCAGCCTCTCCCATAATTTTTTTCCTGTCTCCATTGCCAGCGTCAGCTGCCTAGGTATCTTATCCCAAAATGTTGTGCCTCCCCCAGGAAAGAAAGCCAGGGTGTCAGAGATCACCCAGCCAGGTTTGGAAAACACCATGTTGTTGTAAGTAGTGATTGTTCAGAAACTGGAGTACTCCAAAGGCAGCTGCCAGAAGGGCCCAAAATCACAAGGAGCCCATTGGAAAAGCGGAGGGGGGGGGGGGTCACTTGTTAAGTCCTGCAGCAGAGGATATTCCCTTCATGGGCATAGTGGGAGGTGGCACTTCATCCTGAGGGTAAATCCTCCTCCAGTGGAGACCAGAGACATCGTGTGCTCTTGCACTGCGCTGTTCAGTGGGAGCCACTTGTTGCTCTGTAACCAGCCATGTTTCAGCCCTGGCTGAAATTAAGCCTTAATTTCCATCTTGCAATGAGCACCTCTGAATACAGTGTGGCCCAGTTTGGGGGCAGAGGAAGGACTGGGCAACTTCTCAAGGCCTCCACCAGTGGCATTTACTGTCATTCCTATGCTAGAGGTTTAACTGAGATCCCTGTTAAGTCTTTCTCCAACACCTTCGTGTTTCAGTGGTATATTATGTTAGTGCTCATGCTGTAAATAATAACAATCAAGAAGGCTGTTTAGCAAGGTTGTGCTATGGTTGTGCTTGTCCTACTTGGGTGCACGTGGCTTTTTGAGGCGTTTTTGAACAGGACAGCAAGTCCTCTAGCAGTGGACTGTGGATGTAACGAGCACGGATCATTAGCAGCAGCGGTCAATAGATACTTTTCCTACCTTCCTGCCAGAAACTGATGAAAATGTGTTACGAAAATTCAAGCCTCCTGGCCATTTAGAACAAGCTTCCTGCTTTGCTCTGCTCTGTAATGTCAGCAAGCAGGGAGGCAATGTTCCCACACGCCCCACACCTATGTGTGAACACACCCACCCACCCACCCTGTGGGGACCTCACACATGTCCCAAAATGTCTGCAGCACAGAAGTACCCAGGCTGGGTTTTGGCACAGGTGTAGGAAGGTGCAAGGGTTGCTCTGGGTTGTATCTGTTGAGGACAGCAGGCAGCCAGACTGGGGCAATTTGTGGCTTCCCAGAAACTGCCTGGTATTCTTCTACTTCTTGTCCCTTCTGCGGGGGCATGGTGAACGGGTTGGAAATGGCTCCTGCTAGGGAGCTCCGCCTGCCAGCCCAGGTGGGAAGAGGGCCCATGCTCTGCTATGGGTATTGTCTGCCTCCCAGGGCTCGTGGGAGCCTGGATGGATTAGGACATCCACAGCACAGTCCTGGCCTGACCTGTGTCAGGACCATCTCCAGATACTTGCCTCTTGTTCACTCCATGGGCACTGGACTAGACACGAAGCCACAGGGTGGCTCTGAGTTGAGTTCAGTCTCCTGCCTTGGCTGTAGGGTCAACAACCCTTTGAGGTGGCTACAGCCCAGGTCCCACCTCCAGGCTAGCCAGGCATCCTCAGCTTGGTCAACAATGTCATTCTTCTGTGTGGCCAGGAAGCCTGTGACCTCTGCTGAGAGGTCACCTCCTTCTGAGGCATGTGGAGAAGGGGTAGAGATGGGACAGCCACCCACTTCCCGCTCCCCACTGTTCCTCAGCTGGGGAGATGATGAGTAGGACCTTCCTGCCTATGCCTTGTGCCCATAGCTGAGATGTATCACACTCTGCCGCTCCCAGCAGCCTCCTGCCTGAAACCCAATCGCTGGGTTGGGATTGGATGGGAGTAAGCAGGAAGGGGCTGACAGCAAGGGAGGAGGAACTCCAACCTCCTTCTGAGTCTCAGACAGGCACAATTAGAGCTCTTTCGGGGAAACTGGGTGTTGCTCCTGCTGGCGTCTCCTCAGGAGCAGAGGTGCAGCGGTGCCAATGCTGCCTGCTACAAGCCAGCCTGAAACCCAATCGCTGGGTTGGGATTGGATGGGAGTAAGCAGGAAGGGGCTGACAGCAAGGGAGGAGGAACTCCAACCTCCTTCTGAGTCTCAGACAGGCACAATTAGAGCTCTTTCGGGGAAACTGGGTGTTGCTCCTGCTGGCGTCTCCTCAGGAGCAGAGGTGCAGCGGTGCCAATGCTGCCTGCTACAAGCCAGCCTGGGGAGGCAGGCGGGGGTTAACGAATGAGCTGGTAGGTGAGGATGAGCAGGCTGGTCCAGGGCTGACATGGGTGTCTGGACGTGGCTGTAGGTTAATGTGGATGAGCCAGCCAGGAGGTGAAGGGGCAACTGTGTGGGTGCTGCCTGCCCTGGCTCTGCCTTTCCCTCTCCTGTTGGCAATGGGAAGGTCCCTCACCAGCTGCCCAGAGCTTGTCAGGAGTTTGTGTGTCAGAGACCTCTGTCCTGCTGATGGCAAGGGGGTTGGAACTAGATGATCTTTAAGGTCCCTTCCAACCCAAACCATTCTATGATTCAGTTTGTCAAAATTGGCTTGTTAGTATCAAATTAGGGAATAGATAGTTGAGTTCATGAGCAGGGACTGCTTCAGCCTTGTTGATGAAGGAGATTAGGCTATAAAAAACATCAGAGGGTGGAGGAAGGGGATCCCTCCAAGGCATCCATGCAGTTCTCACTGGGAAATGAAGACCCAAACTAGAAACTGCTGCTGAATGGCAGACAGAAGAGCCCCACCACAGCCATCCTTTGTCATATCGCTACTTGAGGGAGGACCTGTGCATGCTGGAAAGGGCAAAGGAGGTCAGTTCCAGGTGCTCTTTCAGCCCTGCAAGGAGAGCTGGACTTGGGCTGGGAGCTGGGCAGCTTCTGGTGCATGGCAGCCCTTGGCTCCCTCTGCAGAGCACTGGGCTCCTGTGGCTCCCATCTCTGAAAGGGCTCTGCATTAGTGTCCAGCTCCCAGCACACTCTGGATTGCTGACAGCTTGCAGGAAGCAGAGAAGTAAGGTGTTTGCAGAGGCTGAAGCTGCTGATCATATGAGCAGGCTGAGCCATTGCAAACACCCACGGCACCGCCAGTCCCAGGGACTGGACACCCTGTCCTGTTTTTCTGACTGAATCCTCACTGCCTTGTCCCATTTGTTTGTTATTTTAGGTTTGCCCAGGTAGCCGTGCCTCTCTTATTTGTTATTGCAGAGGCAATGAGCTGTGCCCCTCTTGTGTTATTGTAGGATTGCCTGCACCAGTGTGAATCCTCCCCTCCTCTTAATTACTGCAGGGCAGCCCAGGGAGATGCCCTGGCTCTGCCTTGTCCAGCACTGGCAGTCAGTGCCAGAGGGGATTCCTGGGACAGATCACAGTGTGTTTCATTGCCCTGGAAGAGCTTAGTCACTGCAGATGTCTCCGGTCTCCTTTCAGACCTCGGATTGCTGCAACATCTTTGTGGCAAAGGATGCTCTTCTACTGCACCTTGTACAGTGTCTTTTCCTCAGGAACAAGATCATTCCCAGTTTATTCAATCTCTTCCATATCCCTTGTCTGTCACCCCCCTATAATAGAGGAGCCTAGAGCTCTGCTATCTTCACTGTAGGGTTGCAGGAGGGATGAGACGTGTTCACTGGCGTCAGAGTTGCAGGAGACACCGTGCAGGGAGGGATTTCAGCCATCCAGGTGCTTTTCTTCCTACCTTGGTGGGTTGCCCCATGCTTGCCTGGCACCTGCTCAGCACAAACCTGCTGTCAGCGCAAGGCTACTGGGAACCAAGGACTAGGAGGCCAGGAGCTTCAGGAGCTTTAAACTCTATTCAAATTTAGTCCAGAAATAACCCTTTTTCACTCCAGTGGCTGTCCTAAATGTCACAAGTCATCTAAGTTTAGACTGTCACCAGCTCTCTCCTATATATAACCGCACAGGGCTCCTGACTGCATCCTGCTGCCACAGGTCACACTGGAGCGATCCGGAGAAGGTGATAGCCATGGGCAGAGCCTAAACATGCTCTTCCCTTGCCATTGGTGCTGGCTACGGTCTGGCAGCACTGCTTGGCAGTGTTACCCTGGGCTTTGCTGGCTGCTTGGTGTGTGACAGTGGACAGGAGCTGGTTTGGTCCCGTGAATGTGGGGCTGCAGGCTGAGGACCCTGGAGATCCCAGCACTTGCCAGCCACATCTTTTGTATCGCTGCTGAAGTGTCCAACAAACCACTGTGGTGGTTTTGCTGTGTGATTGTCATTGACTTTGGAGCTGTCTCATCTTTGAGCATCCCTAGGTTCTGCTCTTGCATCTACAAGGTGGGATGGGGTGTGAATTTGTCACTTAATCCTCTCGCCTTGGCTAAAGAGGGGCTTCTCTGCCACATCTTGTGTGTCATCTGGTCCTTTCTGGGTGTGGAATAACCCTCCCACCATTCCTTCTCCACTGACACACTACAAACGATAGTGGCCTTGTATGTAGGAACTCTTTTTGACCCCCCAAATCCTCCATGCCCTTGGACACCTTCCTGTCCTGAGCTCAGGGGTCACACGAAGGCCATGCCAAGTCCCACACAGTGGGATAAAGCCAGGTCTATAGGCAGCAGCTGGGAAAGGGATTTCTTCAGTCATTTGTTCCCATCCTGCCTGGTGCAAAGATGTCCTCTGGGGTTGGGCAGGAGGCCCTCTGTGCAAAAGCAAGCCTCAGTGAGCTCATGGAGACCTGACGGTTTGATATCCTTTCCCTTCCAGAACGGGAGTCCCGAGAACATGAGGAGCCAACCACATCGGAGATGACAGAGGAAACCTACCCACCCAAGTCCTACCGGCCGAAGCACGGGCGCCTCTCCGAGCTGAAGGCTGAGGCCCTGAAGAAGGATCGCCGGAAGAAGTTGACCCTGGCCAAGTTCGTGGGCATGGCAGAGAACACGGCGCACCCCCGTGTCGTCATCCCTGAGCTCCGGCAAGAGTTTGAGCTGGTGGGTGCCTTTGCCTTCCCTCCGCGGGCTTCTCTGGGCAGGGGTCTGTGGGGGGGCTTTGCCACTCTGGGGAGCAGGTGCCGGTGGGGGGCACAGGGGACCTGGGGGCATTTGCAAATGGAGGCTTGCTGCAGGGTGCTCTCCTCCTCACACTCCAAATCCTCAAGGGCCCCCTGCCGCAGGCACATGGAGGCATCCCTGCAGGAGCTCAAGAGCAGCCAGCGGATGGTCCCCCGCGCTGTCCACCTCCCCAACTGCGACCGAAAGGGCTTTTACAAGAGGAAGCAGGTAAGAGCCCCACGGAGGGATGCTCCCCACCCAGGGAAGCGCTTTCTCTGCTGCTGCCCTGGATGGAAAGAATGGAGGTTTTTCCTCTGCGGGCCAGTGGGGAGGTGGTTGTGAGCATTTCCAGGCACCTTTGGTGGTGGGTTGTCTCCCTGACAGCTCCAACTGCTGTCCAGCCTGAATCAAACATCCTGAAGGAGCTGGTCAGGGAGCAGGGGAAGTCAGAGAGCCTGGGGCTGGGGTAGCAGTGGGGATGGAGAGGTGCTGAAAGCAGAGAGCGGGAGACAGGTCCGACCTAGAGCGTTGCATCGCTGGAATGAAAGGGGAAAAGTGCAGGGCTGGTCCTGATCCCTAGCATGAGGGAGTCCTACCACTGGTGGCCATCTCCTGATCTCTCTCCCTTGGGTGTCTCCCCAGTGCAAGCCCTCCCGAGGCCGGAAGCGTGGGTTGTGTTGGTGCGTGGACAAATACGGCATGAAGCTGCCGGGGACTGACTACCTGAGCGGAGACCTGCAGTGCCATGCGTTTGACAGCAGCAACGTGGAGTGAAGTCGCATCCCCTCCCTCCACCCCGTCACTACCTACCCAGGCTCCCTTCTACCCTCCCCTCCGCACCTCCCTGTGCCCCGGGACTCCGATTCCTTTCATCTCATGTAAGAAGAAAAAAAGAAAGGAAAAGAAAAAAGAGAAAGGAAGGAAAAGAAAAAAGAGAAGGGAAGAAAAAGAAAAAAGGGAAAGGGAAAGAAGAAAAGAAAAGAAAAGAAAAGAAAAGAAAAGAAAAGAAAAGAAAAGAAAAGAAAAGAAAAGAAAAGAAAAGAAAAGAAAAGAAAAGAAAAGAAAAGAAAAGAAAAGAAAAGAAAAGAAAAGAAAAGAAAAGAGAAAAACAAACCCTGAAGAAACTGAGGACTCGGAATCTACAGCAGCCTCTTGACAACAAGGACTCAGCAAGGAAAGGACAGAGCCAGAGACAAACCAGCTGCAGCCGCTCTGCCGTCCCGTGCCTCCCTGCGCCTCTCCCCAATGCCGCCCGCACCCTCCTGCCACGAGCAGAGGCCACCCCGATGTAGGAAGCTCTCCGAGTTGGTGATTTTCCAGTATGGGTTTCAGGCAGGGGTTTTTTTGTTTTGTTTTGATTTTTACCACGTTAGCTAGTTGTTTTATAAAGGTTCTCAAGAGAAAACTTTGCGGCCACCAGCAGTCCCCCTCCTCGCTGCAGTCCTCCAGAGTCTCCTCCCCACATCACTGGGACTCACTCGAGTCAATTTAATTTGACTTCAGTCTCAAACGACCACCCCGGATCCAGGCAGATTTCAACATGTCAGGAGGAGTGGGACTGCTGGCTTCGTGTCTGGAGACGAGCCAGGGAGGGAAACACAGGTCCTGCAATGGCATGAATACTCCTCCCAAAAATGTTTGTGGACTTCAAAAAGAAATCATCCAAAAAAAAAGAAGATATACTTCTCCATCCGGTTCCTCTTGAACAGGAGGTCAGACATCTTTTTGGACAAGCAGGACTCTGACCATTGTCCATCCATGTGTGGAAGCGTTCTGGAGACGAGCCAGGGAGGGAAACACAGGTCCTGCAATGGCATGAATACTCCTCCCAAAAATGTTTGTGGACTTCAAAAAGAAATCATCCAAAAAAAAAGAAGATATACTTCTCCATCCGGTTCCTCTTGAACAGGAGGTCAGACATCTTTTTGGACAAGCAGGACTCTGACCATTGTCCATCCATGTGTGGAAGCGTTTGTCACCTGCGTGCGTGTGTGTGTGTGCAAGTGTGTGTGTGTGTGTGCGTGTGTGCACACGCGTGCACAGACATGGCTTTTCCTCCTTGTAAAACTTTGCCTCGAAACCTGCAATCTGGAGGGCTTAACTGTAAGCAGGGGGAGAGATGCTGCCCCCCGAAAAACCAAGAAGAATAACCTACCAGACTAAGCACAGGAGCAGAGTTACAGAGGAGCATCGGTGCCTGCAGGATCGGGGCCCCTCTGATGTCGAGGGCTGCATCCAAGCTGACCTTGCAGATACGCCGTCACTGTTCAGACTGAAGCATCCCTACATGGGGACAGGGGGATTGAGGCCACAATTCGTCACCACCCTTTGCCACCACAAGGAAGAACAACTGTGGAGATTTTTTATTATTATTATTATTATTATTTTATTTTTTCACAGCCAAAAAAGTGGTTTGCTCCAGGGGAAAAAAAACACAAACCTACACTTTGTTTTGTCTTGGCTTTTTGTTAAGGCTAGTTTCTAGCCTTCACTGTGGGTAGGAAAATGCTGATCTCCATCTTTTCGCATTGAGGATACTGCTCACGTTGCCACAGCTGACTCCTGCCAACCCTGCAGTAAGATCCTGTGACAAGCTCTTGCCTTTAACCTGGGACCCAGCTGCTTGTTGAGCGACAGCAGCCACCACACCGCCGAGACCCACTGCCTCAGGCACACTGGGACAGCCCTTGGTTGCCTTCCTGCTTTTTTGTTGTTTTTAATTTGTACGTTAGATTTTTTGGGACTGTTGCCTCTCATTTCCCCATGACAAGGGTCTCCAGGATGTTGGTGCTCAGAGAAGATCCTGCAGCGAAGGGAAGGAAGGAAAGGAAAGAGAGCCACGAGGTCTGGGTGCTGCCGTCACAGTGGGCAAACATGCACCCACCGGGGACCACATCCCGCCACCGCAGCTGGAGCTGGCAGCTAGTACTGCCCAAAGGACATGGCTGATCTCAAGGGGAAGGTTTCTGCACCCCTGAAGCCCCTTTGAGGATACCAGAGCTGGGCAGAGAGGAGAGGGGGTCCACAGTGCCAGCAGAGATGGGACAAGGGGGATTTGATGCCAAGGAGGTCTGGTGGAGGCCCCTCTCCATCACAGATTCGGCACCCTCATAGCCTCCCACAGCATGGCATCACTCCCCCAAGCACCCTTCGGGCCCCCTGCCAGGACACTTGCCCCTATCAAGGACAGGACTGGATGCCTCGGAGTTACATTGGGGCAAGTTTCACAGATGGACTTTCAAGGAGACCGAGTGGGGTGTATTTGGAGCTGTTGATGAGGTGTCTTCCCTTACTGAAAAGAAGGGGGTGCCACCAAATGCAGATCTGTCCCCCTAAAAAACCTACAGGAGCAAGGTGACCCCTGCATTGCTGGAGGGGAGCATGGTGGGTGCTGGGGCCAAGGGAGGAACCCCTCTGGGCTCTGCAGGGCTGATGGAGACGGGTTGGTTTGATGAGGATGAGGGGTTAATGGTGCAGTGAAGGTGGGGTGAAGAATGGAGTAAAGAAGGCAGGTGGAGGAGGAGCCTGTGCCAACCCCAGGGGCCACAGGTCGCCATTGTCACCAGTCTCCCATCTCTGCTTGCCGATCACCGTGCAAAACCTCCTGACTGTTACAGGCCAGTACCACCTTCCCTAGGACCCTCCTTCTCTCTCCCTCCTTCTTGCTTTTTTGTTCGTTTGTTTGTTTGTTTTGTTGTTTGATTTCCCAAAACTTGAAAGCCTTTGGCTGCAGAGAAAGGAGACGTGCTGCCGGAGCAGGATGGGAGCAGGCAGAGGGACGGCAGCTCCCCATGGACTTTGCCTTTTGGGGCTGATGTTTTTGCAGCGTGAGGGTCAGCTCACAGGGCCCACTGGTGGTCTCGTGATGTGGCCACCACGGTGATACTGGGAGGGGGACACACAGGGTGCCTCCCTGATGTCTTCCAACAAAGTGAGTCTCAGGCATGACCCCGGGAGCCTAGAGACCAAAATCCATCCCACACAGCCTCCCTCTCCCCTGCACATTCAGCACTACAACAGCACTGTCTGTCCAGTCCCCACCAACATGGGGGGAGGAGGATGCAAGGAGGGGGTGCACCACCCTAACCCCCCACAAGCCACCTCGGCTCCCAGGACAGGACCCCGAGAGACCCCCCAGCCGCCCGCTCCCTTGAGGATCCCCGGCAGGACGAGGCTGGTTGCATGCACTAATATTTAGGACTGGGGTTGGAGCCTGGGTTAAGCTGGGGGTGAGAGCTGATTCAGAAGGGGGTTTGCCACCCCCGAGGGACAGCAGTGACAAGGTGTTCCTATTCTCAGCACCCAGCAGCACCGCTTTGCATTTGGGGTGAGAAAACCAAAAGGGCAGATTTGGGAGCTGGGGAGCAGCGGGGGCCGAGGCACATGGGGCAGTTTGTGCATCCGGGGAGGCATGAGGTTCAGGCACAGTGTCTGCACCAAGCCTGTGCCAGCACCCAGGATAGTGGCTGGGAAGGAGAGGACAAGGATGGGGTAGGGATTGGGACAGCCTTTCCACCACCTCTCCCCAGGGAGCGGCACTCAGCAGCTGGGCTACCCCTTGTCTGTACTGCAGTGGACTTCGAAAACCACTAGTACAAGAGCATTTTGCACTATTTCTCTGCTCTCTCTCCCCCCTTCTCTTTTTCTCTCCCTTCCCTATGAGAACTTCCTTTTTGTTGTTGAGGTTTTTTGTTGTTGATTTTTTTTTTCCCCCAAAAGGAGCATTGTATATTTAAGGACCGACAGTTCACTTTGCTTCCAGACCGCTGTCCTGGCCCTGGCTAGGAGCCCTGCCTACTGTGTCCCCCTCCCCAGTCCTGCCAGCCCCCCACCACTGCCACCGGGACAGACGCCACCACGCACGTTGCCCACCGTTGTAACACAGTTGTTAAAACACACCAGATTCCGAGTTTCCTGCCTGGTTTTTATCTTTAAGCAATACTCACTACACATTTTACGGTAGCTTTTTATAGCTTTACATACATACGGTAGCTCTGTTGTTTCATTTTGTTTTGTTTTTGTTGTTTTGTTTTGGTTTTTTTTCCAGTAAACAAGAAATATGCATAATCTTACTGGTGGGAAAAAAAAAAAAAGCAGTTTGTGAAAAACTGACAATGGAAGAAGAGCTTAATGCTCTGTTTAGCATTTTGTACTTAAAAAAAAAAAATCTCACATTTTATTAAAAAGTGAAGATTGCTGTATACTATTTATTCAACTTATAATTTATGTTACTCTTTGATCTTTGTCTTTTCTCATGACAAAGCATTTATTTAATAAAGTTATGCATTCAGTTAGCTTGTGCCTGACCCTCGTGGAGCGTCTGCGTGCTGATGCCCACCAGTGAGCTGCTCCATCCCCAAGCATCCCCCGGCCGGTCGCATTGCACCCCAAGGGGCTCAGCCAGATCCATAGGGGTGCTGGGGGAGGTACGGGGCACAGGGTAATATGGTGGCAATGGTTTAGATACCAGAGCAATACCCTAAAGCAGTGGTAAAATTACAAGCTTGAGTTTAGAGCATCCTTAACGCAGAGCTGTCCTATTTTTTTAGCAATTTCTTTGTGTGGATCTGGCAGTGGGGCATGGCCACGACATTGATCTTGGTTACGGTGGAAGAGGGCCTGGCTGCTGGTGATGCTGAGCCCCCAGTTGCTATTCCAAACTGAGTCCCCACACTTTGGGATCGGAAATGATGTTTGAGCCTCAGACCTCTATTTGCCCCAGTGTACAGGAGCATCCCTGTGCCATTCCTGGGCAGCCCAGCCAGACCATGCTCCTCAGACCTCTCATGCCCTTCCCACTGCCCTGTGTCCTCCCTGATGCCAGATCTGGTATTTCCACCCAGAAAGTTAGGGCTCTTTTCTCTGTCCCTCCTCTCAGCTAGTGGGCTAGTAAATCATAGTCCTACCCCCAGGCTATAGCTATATAGATAGCTATAGTTGTATGTAGATGCAGTCATACAGTCTTACACTAATTATTTATATTAAATATTATTGTTTATATTGTACTAGTGCATAATTTTTATGCTATACTAAAACTGTAGTTTGCCAGTGTAGATAGATTTGTGTGTGTACACCAGAGCTGCTGGGGTTTCGGCCAGTACCCTACGTGCTGCTGGCAAGGTCCCAATGCTTGACCACACACCCTATTACCCAGAAGGCACAAAGCCAGCCCAGCCAGGATCCAAGGAGTGACACGCATCAAACCCATACACACACACACATGCAGCCTTCAAGGCCATGTTGCAACCCTGGGCAAACCTAACTAGAAGGTCTTTGCTCCCCTTGCCTTATTGCTGGCCCTCTGCAAGGTGCCTGGCCAGCTGCAAGCACTCTTTGCTGGGCTGAGGACTCCTCTCCTCCTCCAGCTCTTCACCCAGAGGGTGGCCCCAGGCATGGCCAGGCTCTGGCACCTCTGCCACCCCAGCCCTCCCTGGGCAGCACCTGGCTTGGAATACCCTTATGCCCCACAGTACTACTTGGCATCCCCCACCCCAGCAGGGCACAGCTCCCCCCAGGGGCACAAAACAGGATGGTACTAAATGTTAACTTTGTTCTTTTTTTCCATGCTCTCCAGCTCACATCTCACCCTCTATCCTGCCTGTCCCACCCCCATCCCCTGCAGCCCCATGCACTCGCTGCTTCCTGTCCCCATACACTTTCCTGGTGTTCCCCGCCACTGCCCAGCCCCTTGGCACACATCAGTCCCACTCAACATACTGGCATGGGGCAGGAAAAAGCAGATGCAGAAGTAACCTGGTGGTTTTGCCTTCCTTTGGGGAGACAAAAGGGAAACCACAGCCACGTGGCTACTGGCTGTCTGGGGCACACAAGGCCTCTCCTTCAATGCTGCAATTTTAATTGAATGCAGCATGGGTTTTTTATTATTGTTATTCTTTGCCTCTCTGTGGTGCCATCATGGCACTGAGCTGTGCCATTATGCTCCCTTAGGCAGCACCTCTCACCCTGGGAGAAGGTGCAGGAGCTTCAAGGCACACCTGTCTCCTCGGTCCCATGAGTGGAGCTGCTCAGCCAAAGCCTGATCCCGCACACAGCCCAGCCCTCCCTGCACCTTCCCAGCAGCCTGTTCTGGGCAAAGACTTCACACAAAAACACTAAGGCTGCCTTATCAGCTGGCTCAAATTTTGCTCTCCTTGAGCAAGCTAAGGGGAGTGCCCTTGGAGGGTCACCCACAGAGGGTTTCTCCCTGCAGTGCCCTGCGCAGCTGAGTAACTCTTTGCACGGGGTACAGAGGAGACCAAAACCATAGTGAGATGCTTAAAGGAGCCTAGATGATTCCTGGAGAATAGGTCCATCTGCTGGCTAATAAACAGCACAGTTAGATGCAACTGCCAACTCAAGAAGCCCCTGAAATACCAAGGTTGGGAAACTGGAAAAGCAGAGCTCCCTTCTCCTTAATAGCCTTTGCCCAAGCATCTACCACAGCCCCTGATGTCCCTGCCCTGGGTGAGAGGGACCTTCCCTTGCAAAGCTGTTCCCCTGCTCGAAGAGCAGGAAACCATCACTCTTACACAGCCTCTCAGCAGCTCAGGGAGCTCCACAAGCATCATGTCAGAAAGGGCACTCATACTGCCATCCTCTGCCCAGCAAAGTGGGACACAACCACCCTTTTCCACCAAATTTAGCTGCTGTCAGGCAGGGAGACGGTCTCTGCACACGTGCCAGCCAGACACCGACTCAAGAGGACTCGAGGGCATGGTTGTATTTTACAGACTCACAAGGTACTAGGTGTGGAGCAGGACCATAGCAGGCCAGCGGATGAGTGACACCAGTTCCTCCCTGCTTGTACCAGTGGAACCTGTAACGATGAAATGCCCAACTCCCATCACCACTTGTCAAGCCCAGTGTTTACAACATCTCCTGGACAAAAGCTAAACAGGCCCAAATGTGGGTGTGATGCATCAGGCAAAGAAATATGTCATGTGAACAGAGGGGAGTGGGGAAGATGACAGTTTTCTGGCATCCCATTTAATTTATTCCAACTTAATGCAGCTCAGCTTTTCCAAAAGATAAAAACACAAAGAAAATTTCTTGATTCCTAAACAAACCAAAAAGTACAAACTGCAGATGAGAGCCAGCATGTGCAAGGTTTACATGAAAAAGCAGAACACCCTCAGATGTTAACAGAAAACAGGTAGCATCATTTTTTACAGTTACTTGGCTTTGCATGCAGGTGTGTTTCTCTCTCATGCACTCTTGCTCCCTCTCATACACATCCACGTGCACACACCCCCACTCCTGACTTTCCAAAGGGGGGCCCATTCCCCATCTCCTCCACTGCCACAGCCAAACCCCTGCAAAGTCATGAGGGGCTTAATTTGCAAAGACAGCCTGTGACCTTCCCACTTGGGATCTGAAATGTGGGGCAAGAAGAGGGCAAAAAAAAAAAGCAATGAACCCCAGCGCTCCCCTTCCTCCAGAGCCCATTGGGCTTCTTGCTTTTCCTTATCCAGATCAAAGTCCCTGTATGGGGGTAGGAATCAGCAGTGGGGACCGATGTGGTGTTTCTCCAGCACCATTTGGTGTCACCGGGGTGTGCTGGCAGGTACCAGGGGCTGGTCCCATCCCTGCAGGTTGCAGTCATGGTCAGGCAGTTTTGCTGCCTGGCTTATGCCATGCAGGTACAGGGTGGTCCCAGCCAGACCCCAAGCTTGCCAGGGAACCCCCTTCCTCCACTCTATTGAGCCTAACCCCACAGAGGACCTGGGATCTGGAGACTACTACTCAGAAGCATTTGCCAGAGTTAGAAGATGCTTTGTTTCCCACCCTCCCTTGATCTCGAGGAAAGCCTAAGATTTTTACTGTAAGGAGAGGATTTTTGCAATTGCTCTGCAAATGGTATCTGTGTTAAAAAGAAGGTAAAAAAAAGGAAAGAAAATAATAAAATCTCCTTGCTTAGGCAATGGGGAAGTTATTTATTCTCAGCGTCAGTGTGTTCTGTACAGAGAGAAATCAACAGGTGAAATAACAGTGGAGAAACATCTCTCCCTGGAGCGGCATGTCCAGCACAAAACCTCTCAGAGCACTTGGAATTGTTTGGATTTCATCTATACAAATGTGTGTGTGGGTAGAGGGTGCATGTGTGTCAGGGCCTTTACAAAGCAAGATATATACTGTAAATTACTTACAAAAAAAAAAAAAAAAAAAAGAAAGAAAAAAGAAAATGTGTGCTGAATAGCAGATGCTTACTCCAGTCCCAAACAAAAATGGAGGGACAAGGGCAGCTGCTTGGGAGTGCAGGTTTTAGATGGGTTTTTTTCCTTATCTAGAAACAAAAAAAGAATGAAAGAGAGGGGAGGGAGGGAGGGAGAGAGAGAGACAGACAGACACACTCCCTGGCTTGTTATCCTAAATCTATGCAGGCATCCTTCTACCCAGCCCCAGCAAGTTCACTTTAGCTCCCTCAGCATTAGCTGATCCTAAGAAATACTGGGTAATAGCCCTGAAAACCCCCTGGAAAAGCAATCATTTAGCTTCGCTGTCACCCCAAGGCCCCATCCTCCCAGACCAGTGGCAGGAGCCAGGTCCCTGCAGGGCTGGCTGTGCCTCAGTGCCAGGAAGGGAAGCAGCCAGGAGTAGGGATTTTTTGGGGGGAGAAGGCTGCCTCATCCTTAGCCCTTTCTCTTTCTGATGATCCTCCTCCTCTCCCTCCCAAACCACATCCCAGGCCAGGACTGATGGCCAGGCTGGGGCACAGGGGGCTGGCAGGACACAAGAGGCAGGCGACACAGTATTTACAGTCTTTGGTCTCAGGGAAGGGAGGGAAAGGGAGAAAGGGTGGTGTGGGGTTTGTTTGTTTGTTTTTTTTTTTCTTTTGTTTTTTGTTCCCCTCCTGCCTATGGCAGAGAGTTTTGCCCCTGGGAGGTGTCGAGGAGCACATGGCGCTCCATGTATGGAGGGTGCAGGAAGATGCCACAAAGCAGCAGGGAGGACAGGGCTGCAGGGTGAGGAGCAAAAAAGACCGGTTCTCTGGCTTATGTTGGGTGAAAGGCTATAGGAAAGCACTCCCTTCTCTTTGCAACCCCCCCCCAACCGCCCTTCCCCTCCCATCATCCCTCCCCTCCCCAGGAGCCAGGCAGCAGGGGAAGGAGGGCAGCACACAGGATCCAACCCCAGTCTCTTCCAGAGCCTAAAGAGACACGCTGAAACCCATGTAAAATCCAGCACTGGGGCCACGGCAAGCCACCTCCAGCGAGCAGGATCACATCCATCTACTGGCTCCGCAGGGCATGTGCTCCCCGGTCCTCCTGCTCATGGGCTGTGTAGAAGAGGTGGCACTCGGGGTCCCCACGGATGGTGGGTGCACCCTGGATCACCTTCCCATGGATGGGGTCCACACACCAGCACTCGCCACGCTGCCCGTTCACCGACATCTTGCACTGCACAGAGAGGGACAGGGCAAGGATCAGCTGAGGAAATAGGGGGAAAAAACCCCCCTCCCAGCCCCACCAGCTCAAAGCCTGAACATAGGCAGAGCTGGGGTTTCTCCAAAAGTTTGGTACTAGTTTGGATTTAGGCAAGATTCTGGGATGCTGCACTGGGACACCCCAGAATAAAAAGCACTAAAAAAAGAGGAAGAAAGTCTCCCCAGCAGGAGAGTACATCCAGGCACCCTCCACCTAAGTGCTGGTCCATGGGAGGTGGGAGCAACTGGGAATGCTTTTGCTGGCATTTACTTCCCAGCTAATGAAAAGCTGATGCTCAGCTTTGGAAACTGAGATGGAGAGAAATGGGTATCACTTCACATTTACCTTGTTTGACCTTAGCTAGGGCAGGGTGGGGGAAGAAGAGAAAGCATTTTTTGTCCCTTCTCTTTCTGCAGCAGTGACCAGTGTGTAACCCATCTGCACCCTTCAGTGCAGGCTGACTTGTTTCCAGGCACAAGGAGCAGCAGAGTGTCTTTTTGTTGTTGTTTTTTTAGCACACAAGGCATCACTGCATTGCCCAGTCTCATTCCCCTGACACAGCTCATCTCCTTATGGGAAATTTGCCAGCTCTGCTTCATGCATCCCTTCCAAGTGTGCTCATGGTGGGGGATCCAGCCAGCCCATGGGGTGCTTCACAGGCAGGGTCCAGGTGGGACAGGGAAGAGAAAAGGGACAGAGGGATATTATTCTCAGAGCATCCTACTCTTTTTTTTTTTATGCTCCTGATCAGGGGGTAGAATTAGCCCGGAGAAAAAGACTTAGCCATGAAAACAAAAGGTTTTCTGCAAGCCCCTCCAACGCTCAGTTACACAGTTGTAAGGGGTGCTCGTATCCAGGTACTATTCATAGGTGGCTGCCAGTCAACCTTGGACAAGATGGTGTTTTGCTGCCCAAGAGGTCTTTCCCAGCATTTTTTACTCCATGCCTCAGCCATTGACACCTGCTCACTTTGCATGAATTTAGCCAAGAAGTCAGAATTCAGACACGCATTAAGTCATTTGAGTCCTTTTGGGTCCCTTAAATACTTTCAGAAGTATGCTGCACCCCAATCCCCACCTCACCTGGAGGAATCCCTCCTGGAGCTGTGGGACTAGCCTCAATTTGTGGAAGAAACCCAGTAGAGTGCACTAGAAACCTTCCTGATCCCAGGAGAAGTGCTTTCTGCTTTGTCTGCAGGACTGGCCAGCATTCAGCCCCACTCTGCTATTCCCCTGTAGTGTGGCCCAGCCAGGACAAGACTTGGCTCAAAGCACATGAAAATAGACCTGGATAGGTAAGCAGCTTCTGTGGTGAAGAAGGAGCTCTGAACTAGACAGATCTTCCATCTCTGGGCTGCCTGCAGCCACGTGTAGATGTAGGTCTCACATCTCCACTTGCTAGCACATGGGTGTTACTAAACTTGTCCATGCCACATGCAATATTTGCTCTTTACCCCACACCTCACACCGTGTGCATGACATCAGCCCAGCCCTGAGCTGCTCTATGTCCTCCTTGGCTGTGCACGGAGGGGACATATGTGGAGCCCAGGGTTGCTGCTGGGAGTGCAGCCAGCCCCGGGGCTCTGGGTCTCCACACTTGCCTGTTTGAGATTGTAGAGGCCATGCTTGTCACAGTTGGGGATGTGGAGGGAGTAGAGGTGCTCCAGGGGACCTCGCTCATCTGGCAGCCGCATAGTGGAGATGCGTTCCAGGACCTGATCCAGCTCCTGCTGACAAGGGGTCTGAAAAGAGCCCAGAAAGCAGAAAACAAAAAAAAGCCATCAGGGTAATGGGACCATTCACAGTATCAACATTTTGGACAACAGAAACACCAGTAAGCCTGAACACCTGCATGAACCTCCTTAGGACACAGGTTTTCCACTGGGCCCTGCTGACTTCACCTGCAGGGACCCAAGGCTCATCTGCACATGCCGATGTGTGGAGGTACATGTGGGGAGACATGCACATCTCTCCCATGTGCCTCAAGTGGCCAAGAGCCAACGTGACACCAGATCACAGAGATACTCCCATGGGTCTCACTGGTGGTGACAAATGACATGAAGCAGGACTAATCCAGACAGACCAGGAGGATTTCTATAAGCCTAGCCCAGATCCCACACCTTTGATGCAGTTTTGGCCCAGAAGCACAACTCAAAGCCTGCGAGACCCCATGGAAGTGGAGGGGAAGCCCCAGGAATGAGAGCACCCAGCAAAGCCAGCCTCTGGAGGCATCCCTTTTGCTCCACAGCAGTCCCGAGCCAGGGTTCCCAGCCAAGGCAGCCTGGTTGAATTACACCTGATGTGAGCCAGAGTCCACACCTCTGCTTTTCCAGTTGCTGGAGATTTTTTCCAAAGGAGCAGCAGCAGTGTGGGAGCTCTAAGTTGATGGTGTCTGCACCTTATTCTGAACCTCTGCTTTGCACGTTCCTCAGCGGTGGTGAGGCTTCTTTTAAAGCCCCTTTCTGTCCCTGCACTCCCGAAATAAAAATACCTGTTATGCTTACAGAGATATGTATTATGAACCTTTTGGGGTGGCTTTCCATCCCCATCCCCATCCCCATCCCATCGAGTTGCCTCGACCAAGCTGTCCACTAGAGGGAAGTCACAGCCAAGGACTGGAGGACAGAGGGACAGGGAAGAAGGATAAGGATGACTCCGGGCACACTCTCTGCTGTGTGACAGCCCCACAGCCCACCCTCGGGGCCTCTGGGCACTCCTCCTCAACCTGGACTGGGACTGCCCTGCAGCAAGCAGGCACCCTCCCACCCCCCAAATCCCCTTGAGCCATCCTGGCACTGCCTTAGGGAAAAAGGGTGAGAGAAAACCAGTCTGCGGACAAAGGGCACACTCGCACCCTGCGGAGGTAGGTGTGGAGCCAGCAGGACCCCCCTTCTCCAGTTCTGCTGTCAGGAGGTAAAGCTGCAATGAAAATAACACCTCCTCACCAGCACATCAAAGTTCATCAGATGGTGTGTTCGGCCCCAGCTTCGGGCCAAAACAAACATTTTCTTTTTTTTTCCTCTCCCCCTCTCCCTCCTTTTTTCTTTTTTTTTTTTTTTTTCCCTCTTTTTTTCTTTTTAAGACAGTTTGGTGAAAATGTCACTAAGGCTTTTGCATTCAACATTTCCCTGGCAAGCCTGCAGCCGCCTCAGTTAGCTCCCTACAGCCCCTCTGGACTTCTCACCCTGCCCGTCGACAGCCGCGACTTCTTCGAGTCCTCATGGTTGTGATGGGCCTTGCCGACTTTGCCCATCTGCCGCTGCTGCTCGTTCACCTTCTCCCTCATAACTGCCAGCTCCTTCATGCCTGACTTCATGGGCTTCCTCCCACCAGCTCCACTTAGGATCCCTGCGGTGCCATCCACGTGGTTCTCTGTAAGGATGCTCTCGGACCGGTCATCACCATTATCTGCAGGAGACAGGACAGACAAGGAAAGGGTCAAGCTCAGCCAGGCACTCTCCCACACGTTCATCCCATCCTGGATTGCTTTCAAGTGTGTCTGGTTACCAAGACATAAAATCTTTGCATGCAAAAATTTTAAATTGCATTAGCCCTTTCATCTGGAAAGTGAGAATAGATCCTTTCATTCTGGAGTTATTACCACACTAAAAGACAGTTTAGAGAACAGGGGAAATCGCTGCTGGAGAAGTTCTTTCTGGTTTTTCTTTGACCTTCTAAATTACTTCCCGAAGAATGTCATTTTCCCATCAGAAGTCCAGTTGGGTTAGGGATGCCAAGTGTACTTCGGCTCCAAAACTTAAAACCACAGTGATTAGTAACAATACCTTGAGTCCATCTATCATCCCCCAGAGTATCTCCAGGAATACTTACTCAATATTAATGTGCTAAAATAAATTCTCAGGCCTGCTTTCAAAAATACTTTGCCTCTGTTTTATGGCCACTATAACTTCCCTCAGAGATTCTGCCATTTCAGTGACTGTCCTTGCTGTATTGTCTTTCACATTGTCATGCAGTGCATTACTCCTACCTACTTCTGCATTTAGATACTTCTGCTGACCATGGAACAGCCCCACGTGTCCTGGGCCCAACTTTGCTACTGCTGCAAGCTGCAAGACCCCCAGCTAGTTCAGCCTTTCCCACAGCAGTTAACAGAAATCTGAGGATAAACACTGGGATAGGATCCTCCACTCTCTGCTTTGTGCATTTTCACAGTTCACTGGGTGCCGTTTCCGAGAGCGATCCTTGCCAAAGCAGGACACAACGGTTGCAATGCTGCAGACACCAGTCCCTTTGGACTTTGCAGTGGCAATGAGGACAGATCTGAATTCCTCCTGCTTGCTCCAGAAGGTGACAGCTGACCTCTCCTTGGTGCCTGGTCTGATCTCACTGAGCAAGCATGGCTAACTGTAGCTGGATCTAACATTGAAGCTGGCCCTGCTTTAAGCAGGGGCTTGGACCAAGATCTTCAGAGGTCCTTTCCAGCCCAAATGAGTGTCACATAAAACTGTGCACAACAGAGGGCAAGCAATGCTTTAGCTTGTGTAACAATGCTTAATTTGTGGATCTCCTGCTTCTTGGAAGACCAAGCACACAGAGCATTTACAGATTTTAACATTTCCCTTTTTTCAGAAGCTGCATCGTGATGTTTTGTCAGAGCATAACTCTACTGTCATGACAGAGAGTGAAAAATCATAACAGCGAGTGTTTTATTTCTGCCACAGTTTTTCAAACTCTTTTCAGGTGTCACAACCCCAGGCTCACAGAGGGAAAACTCCAAGAGTTTTGTCTGAACTTACTCAGCAAATGTTTGGCTGCCTGCAGACTGATGGCAAGAGAACAGCCCAAGTCGGTTGGATCAAAGAGCCACCCCAGCCCAGCATGTCATCCACAAGAGACCATCAGCAGCTGTTTGGGGACACATGTCAGAAGGACCATTCCCAATCTGTGCTGCAGACCAGCAGCAAAAGCACTTTCATGGCTGGAGACTGCATCTGAACCAGAGGATTTAAAAGTCACTGACAGGCCCGTCCCTCAGTGGATTTGTCCAATATCTTTTTGAACTTCCTCACCATTTTGGCCTCAAATCGCCCCACTTCCCAGAAATACTAAATGCATTTGGTCTGCAGGTTTTTAGCTGCTTAGGTAGCAATTGAAAAGCAAACACGGGACAAAACCAGTCCGGCAAAGTCCATGCTTTTCCTCAATACTGGTTCCAGATGAGAACTGGGACCAGTTTTGATAGCCAGATGGGCGAGCTCAAAGTCTGGGCTGCTGCCTGGCAATTGCCATCTGGCTGTCATCCTAGGAGCCGGACAAGGAATATTTTGAGCAGGAATCTTCTGTTTATATACCAGTCTCCCCGTTAATTAGAAACACATAGTGAGAAGAGAAGGCCATGAGGCCGCCCTTCAGACAGGATCAAATGAAAAAGCACTGTGCAAGAGACAGGCAAGGCTGGCCAGACTCTGCTCCTCAATGGGCTGCTTAGGAGGGGTTTAGCCTTACGACGGTCTTTTGTGCTCCTCTCCCTGGTGTGCCACCAAGCTGTCAACAGCAGAAGAACAAGTACAACAGTAGGGAAGCATTGCAGACACACTGCAGTCCCCTGCTTCATTCAGAAAACTGATGGTACAAACTGATAGAAAAGTAGCAAACTGGAAACAGTGCCTTCCCCCATCGAATCTCACTCCTTCCTGCCTCCAACTAAAATATATAGACATCTGCCCAAATAAGCACTGTGCTAGTAAATGAAGGCGAGCTGGTAAGCCTCTTGTCGGCTGATTCATTCACAAAACCTGCTTCTGATAATATTTTTGCTCATTTTTCTCACTTTCCAATGCTAACAAATATCAGCCCAAAGAAAACCACTGATGGGAGCAGAGCGTGCAAGCTCATGTGCATGAACACACCCAGGGACAGAAGAGATTAGTCTTGGCTCTCGAGGCACCATCACAGGAGCAAGCCTGCAGCAGAGGCCAGGAAGGTCTAGCTGCTATCAACTGCAAGCTTTCCCCTCCAAGGCTGAGCCAGCCACGGCAAGCCATACCCTCACCCTGCCACTGAGCTGAATTGCTCCACACAGGGTTGATGCTGGACCCCACCACAGCTTTTCCCTCCCCCAAATCCAGTGCTGCTCTTAGGAGGAGCTCTCCTGACTGGGGCTTGCAGAGGTGGCTCAATCACTGGAGAAGGGAGACAGGACAGAAGAAGTTGGGGCCATGTGCAAAGCACCAGTGTTTCCTTCATGGATAAGCTGCACACACAGGAAGAGGCTGAGCATCAGGTGTGATGGACCACATTTCAAAGAGTAAATGGGCCAGGTAGCAACAAGAGTGAAGACATCAAGCCTCAAGGTGGGGAGAACACAGAGCACGATGAGCCAAACAATGCCTTTTATAGACAGATCGTGCTTTTTTTTAACACTGCCCAAAAGCAGCAAATTGTGCATGCTTGCTTATGACTATCCATGAAACCAATTAAGCCACCCATCAACCTTACTGCCATGGGATGGGCAGGTATGCAATTGCCTCAGATATACAACTCTAATCCATCTGTCATCCTGGCAAACACCCTTTTGCTGACCAATCTCAATTCACACTAAATATATCTGTGAACAGAGTGGTGCCAAACTCCAAAACAATTAAGTTTTATAGTTCTTCCATTTTCCTATGGCATGTGAAAAACATCTCCTGTGCTTTGTGCAGGGCGGGACAAGTGTGGCAGGAATCAAAGCAGATAGCTTAAGTTCTAACACTGAGGTGGAGCCCATGAAACACCTCTCTCCATGCCAAGAAAATGATTTCTTTACGGCCTTTTTCAAGGAAAATTCCCATTGGCTTCAATGGGGTGAGGACTTGGCTAAGGTGAAGTGTGTTTGAATGGCCATCAGCTAACATCTGTAGGGAGCAGCACAGTCTCGCCAACAGTTTCAGAAGCGGCTACCAACTTTTAGCACTGAATTTTTCAGGAATCTGGTTTGAGGCCTCTAGGCACCTCTGCCGAGATGGCTGAGAAACAGAGGGGCTTAAAAACAACCTGACACTCCCAGAGCTCCAAGAAAAAAAAAAAAAAAAAAAAAAAAGGCAGCTGCCTGAAGTTAAAAATACATCTTTATCCCTTTGAAGATCCCAAAGCATATCTGGGCTGCAGGGCGGGATTGAGCCAGTAGCACTCACTTAGCATGAGAGGGTTGGTCTTTATCATGGGGAACATGCACAATGCCAAGGACCACAGCCACCCTCTCCAGCGCTGCTCTCTCTCTGCACTTGTTTTCCTTTGAGGGCAGCTTGCCCACAGGGTTTCACGTACATTTCCTTCTCTGCCAGGGGTGTTTGCATAGTGTTTAAGTGCTGATTAAGGCCCCAAACCCACAGAAAGTTTCACCCGAGTGGCCTTCAACAACCTGCCTGGAGCCCCACTAGACTCAGGTCCCAGCTGTGTCTTGGGCTGGATGGGGCTTACATCTCCCTCCGGCAGCAATCGCAGCCTCCGTTTGCCAGCACTTTCCCTCTGAAGACATCAAAGCGCTTTGCAGTTCATTAGTTACCTTGGAGAGAGAGGTGTTAATCCTGGGTTGCACACCGAAAAAAAACAAAGGCACAGAAAAATTGAGAGCATTGCTCAAAGCGACACAAGGAATTGATGAGTGAACCCAGGAGACTGGGTTCCTGCCCTGGCACCTCAGCGTGCACAGGAGCAACACTTTTAGGCTCTTGTGGCCCCAAGTCATACCATTTCAGGACATTTTAAGTGCCTGTTCTGGGTTTTGCTAGCCACTTTTTATTTGAAGGAGCAGAGCTGCTGGTCCTAGGCTGCCAGAAGCCCAGCACTTGTCCTTCACAGCCTGAGAGCAGACAGTTCCTTTAAACCTGACCTTCAGCATGCACAACAGCCATGGCTGGAGAACTACTTTCAGGAAGATGGGGAAGGAACCAACAAACCCTGACTGCAGCCCAAGTGACCTCTGCCTCATCAGTCGGCAAAGTATTTCTAGGAGAGCTCTGGGCAAAGGTTCCAGTGCAATGGCTCTGGTGTGGGTGTCATTGACCTGGAGCTCAGATACCTCAAAAAACTTTTGCCAACAGGGATTATACCAGCCTTGCAATTTCCTCACAACAGGAGCTGCCAAGAACACAGTCTCCCCCAGGCCCTCTGGTCCATCCTAACCCAAAAAGGACCCAGGGTTTGCTGCTAACTGCTGCCAAACTGCAAAGTGCTGAGCTGCGGCACAGCATCCATCAGCACTCAGCCGGCAGCGAAGGGGAAATGTGGGGGCACCAGTGCGTGGTCTGGCCCCAGGCGTAATGAAGCTGGGCTGGATGCAGCTCCCCAGAGGCAGATGAAACCAAAGCAGCCACT